CATTTTGTTTTTTTTTTTTTTTTTTTTTTTTTTGATACCAGGGATCGAACTCGGGCCCTTGTGCTTGTGAAGCAGGCGCTGGAACCACTGAGCTAAATCCCCAGCCTCACATTAGTTTTTTGCCAGTTGAAACTACTCTTATTTGTAACTCGGGGAGAACTTTTGTGAGCCACAGTTTTAACATTCATCTTCGTATTGTTAGTGTCTAGTGCTCTCTCTCTTGTTTTCTGTCTGCATTTACATGTATATTTTTAAATTGAAAACCATGAGATACTGTTACAGGTACATAACTCTTGTTTTGTGTGTGTGTGTGTGTGTGTGTGTGTGTGTGTGTGTTTTGTTTTTTTTTTTTTTGGTTTTTTGAGACAGGGTCTCACTATGTAGTTGAGACTGATCTGGAACTCACTATGTAGCCCAGGCTGGTCTCAAACTCACAGCGATCCTCCTGCCTCAGCCTCCGAGTGCTAGGATTACAGGCATGCGCCACCACGCCCTGCTCTTATATAACTCTTGTTGAATCTGTGGTGGTCTGATTGTTAGAGCTAGTTTATTGTTCTAAGGAACTGCCAACTCATAGCCTCCTCCCCGCTCCAGGTAAAGAAGAGGTAAAGGGTTGAAGTCTTTGGATAAACTTTTATTTTTTTATTCTGCTACCTTGTAGAGATGGGAAAGAAAAGGATTATTTTAAGTGGCTAATAATCTGCTTGTAGTGAATGGTAGAATAAAGGATCTAGCATTCTTATTCTTCAACCAGAATGAAATGGATCTAGCATTCTTATTCTTCAACTAGCATGAAAAATCACGGAGTATAGAGTTAAAGGAAGCTTACCAAATTTGGTCTTTATGACTGTTCTAACTCAGTAAATGCAGTGTAACACAAGCCTTGTTTTGAAGTTTGATATTCCTAAGAAGGGAGGAGCTGAGAAAGAGGAAGTAGGAATGGGAAGACAGGAAAGGCAGCCCACTTGGGTAGATACATGCATCAGAGGTGAGAGTTGTTGAAGGTGAAAGTCATTTCAGAAGTGAAAGTATAGCCTTTCCTTGGCTCTATGTAATTGTCTTTATTTTTCTGTACTAATCAAAATCCCCAGTCTGGTGCATATAGTTCTTTTTGTTTTGTTTTTTTTGGTACTGGTGATCGAACTTGGGTTCTTGCGCTTGCGAGGCAGGCGGTGGAACCTCTGAGCTAAATCCCTGGCCCTATGATTCTTTAATAGGTTTTGTTCCCTATGAACTGTGAATTACTTTGCTAAACTGTTTGCCATAGCTGGTGATGTGCCTCAGTGGTAGAGCATGTGCCCACCGTATGGAGGCCTTCGGTTTAATTCCCAGCACAAAACAGGGTGCTTGCCTTAAAGGTTTGAGCCTCAGCATTGTAAAAACAAGAAAAAGAGAGAGAAAAGAAGGGTCTGTTGCCAGAAAGTTCTTTATAGTATAACAGCAAAATGATAACCAAAACACAAAGCAAAACAAAAAAAGCCTTGGATGTGGCTTGTTACTATATATGATTGTGCTTAGGATTTATTAGCATCCCACATCTAGAGGGTTGTGAAAAGGAATTAGGAGGTGGCAGGCGGAAAGCAGAGAGCCCAACCTGAAGGAGTGAGTCTGATTCTGGTGCTTACATTCTGGGGTAGGATCAACATTTTTCCATTCACTTTCAAAGGAACTTGTTTTGGGAAAAAGCAAAAGCAACACGGCACTTGGGGAAAAGTATGGACCCTGATTTTAAAACCTGGCTGTAAGTGGTTCCGCCGTCTCTCTGCAAGTGCAAGGATGGGAATTCCATCCCCCCCACGCTAAAAAACAAAAAAACAAAACAAAGCAAAAAAAACTAACAAACAAATAAACCTGGCTGTGACACTTGTTACTCCTGTGACCTTGTGAAAGTTACTTAATCTAGAGTTCTTGTACAGAATAAATGAGAGAAGCATCTGTAATGCAGTTTCCTCTGTTCTTTCTTCTGATCTTTTTTAATCTTCCTATAGTCTTTCTATACACTTACCCTCTGCTCTTATCTCATTCTGTATTTTTGTAGCTTTTCCTAGAGCAGTAGTTAAATAGTAAGTGTACTTGTCTAGTCCAGGCTGTCTACATCTGTCTAGTTTTTTGTTTTGTTTCATTTCTTTTGAAGCTATGTATTGAATCCAGGGCGTTCTTGCTGAACTACCTCCCTAGCCCTTTTTTACTTTTTAATTTGAGACCGTGTTACTACATTGCTGTGTTGCCCAGGCAGGCCCAGATTTAGCAGTCCTCCTGCTTCAGCCTGAGATTACAGGTGATAGCCAACATGCTGTGCTCTGGCTACTATGATTCTCTGAACTATTTAAAAACACATACCTTTGTGCCTGGCATGCACAAGATCCTGGGTTTGGTCCCCAGTATGTCAGAGGAAACCAACACACTGCAGAGGAAAACAGGTCGGCATTTCCCCAGTTTACTTGCTTGACATAAATTACCTTGAACAACTGAAAGGGAAGTCACACTATGATGATCTTTGCGCTGCATCTCTCTGCAGTTCCTGCTTTAATCTGCCTTTTCTCTCCCTTAGTTCTTTGAGACTGGGTCTCACAAAGTATTCCAGGGTGACCTCATGCTCACAGGATCTCTAGGTGCTGGGTTACAGGGTGCACCACCACATGGGGCTCAGTTTCCCCCTGGGGAAGCGTTATGAGGGATGGAGCCCAGGCCTTCATGTACTCTGCCGTGGCACTACATCTGTACCGCCACTTTTTTTTTTTTTTTTTTAATGAAAGCCTTTTCAAGAAGTTGCTTATGAATAATCCTCAGGAGCTTGTGGTGAATTTTAATTTTGGGGTAGCAGATAACTAAAGTTTGTGGGTTCTGGAAGAAGAAAGCATTTGATGCCTATTTTGTGCCCAGCCTGCTTTGGGACTTGCTATGCAGCGTCCTGAATGAGGATGTGTTGCTGCTGGCAGGTCTCTTCTCCAGCCCTGAGCTTGCTCCATGGGGCAGCTTGACTTTGTTCTTTCCAGTACTGGGGATGGAACCCAGAGTCTTCTCGTGCAGCTACATCCCCGGTCTTTTTTCACATTTTTTATTTTGAGACAGGGTCTCAATAAGTCGCTGAATCGCCTAGGCTGGGCTTGAACTTGGTGAGCCACCTTCCTCAGCCTCCCACAGTAATGGGCTACAAGTTTGTACCATCATACCTGCCTTAACCTGGATCTTAGATGTCTCCTCATTTCCTGTTTATAAAATATCCTCACATTAAATGCCTTTTCCAGAAGGGCTTTCTGAAAATAGATTCCATAAAGCTGCCCTTCCTCACTTTTGCTTTCTTCTTCAGATTCTCCGAGAGCGGTTCTGTTTACATGATGGCCTATAACTGCAGTTAGCCTTTGGAAAGAAGGTGTTTTCTTTGGTCTCTTTTTCTTCATTTCTGCCTTCAGCTTTTGTTTTTTAAAACTAAATCAAAGCAGAAATGAAAAGAGATCCTTCATCACTGGTATCAAATAAGTGTTCTAATTTTGTTTCCCAATTAAGTGGCAGTTAAAGAAACTCATCAAGAGCTGTTTCAAGAAGGAGACTGGAAAGCAGAAGGAACGAAAACTAAACGAGCCCATTTCAGTGATACTGCTGCTTATGGCAAACTAGTTGTGCTGATTTTTCATGTTTAGTTAATCTGCTCCCCTGAATTTCTCAGCTTTAGTAAGTCGGCAGTAAACCCTCTTCCTTTGGAGTCTGGAGTTGTAATAACTTCAGTAATGACTTAATTCCTTCTCTATAATTTTTAAATGTGAAATCTCAAGCCTCTCTTCTAATTCCTCAAAGAAGGTGTCCTTGGGTGGCAGCTGAGGCACGCAGCATCGGCGTTCTCCATTGAGAACTTCACTCAGAATCTTTGGCAGGGTCAGCGCTTCCTTCCAGGGCCACTGACAGAGGCAGCTGAGGCTTGGGTACCTGTGCTCTCCTGGTGCAGTCCGTGTGCATGGGCATCGTGCTCAGCCCCAGCTTGCTCCGCTCATCCCTGGTCCCACTCACGCGGCAGGTGTAGTTTTTGTGGTGAACTTGGCATTCGTATCTCTCTCTATCCCCGCTGGGGATGGGACCCAGGCCTTGCCCTGCAGGCAGGTAGCCCTTGGCTTCCTTTGACATCTTGGGGCACCCATTTTGAACTTGGGGAGGTGTGTTTTCCTTGCTGAGTTGCCTTTTGTGTCCATCCTGAATCTAGCAGCATGAGTCCTGTTTCGAGATCTTTTCTAGCAACCTATGGACATTCCTGTGGAGAGGACAGGC